CGACTACTGTGCCAATGCTACTGAAAACTACTGACTACTGCTTGTGAGGAAGCAGGGCATTACAATAAGGGGTCAGCCAGCCACACTAATAATCCCTCTCATATTATGAATCACCACGCAGGTATGTATGTGTTTAGGTACTATGTACGTGTATGTATGTATGTATGTTTGTTTGTTTGTCTGTTAGTCCGTCTGTCCGGAAATTTGGTTCTACATGCAGAAAAACTAGATTAGGTCGGGTAAAGGTTGAAATAGGTAGGGTATGGGACAACAATTTTCTTCGCTGGTAGTTGAAGAATTGTGATGCAGAGGTAAAGGTCGCCACAACGTGCATACACGACCTGCAGGATAGGAGCTAATAAGAAGAAGGATGCTAAAGCTCTTGCGGATGAGCTACTTTCACCTTCAACCCAGGTCTAAATTTAAGTAGGCTCTTTGCCTGGCTCAAAGGCAATAGAGGAGCGGCTTGTAGCCCATCGGGTTTGGGTAAGAGTATTAAGCACCTGGCACCATAGTGTTGTACAACCTCTTGGCTGCATTCATACCCAGAAACTCCACATAATCTGCGAAACTGGGAAAGATGCACAACGGGGAGGTAAAAAGTAAGTATTGATTAGGAGCCTACTCTCGCGATTCTGTGTACTTGCAGGTTCCGCGTAATCATCGTTTCCCCAAGATGCCAGAGGGGGCAGGTCTGAGTTATCACTTCCCATATAAATTCGATCCCCGTCGATTTCGACGTACCTCACGAGTCCGTGAATTCATTACTTTTTCATATCAAGGCCTATACGTTCTTCTCCCCCACAGACTTGTCATTTATTCAGGGTGATCTCAAATGAACGCCGCCTTACCGTAGCGGAAGTACTTACACCTGGCAAGTGCCACTTCAGGTAGACTTCCCAGGTATAAATATCCTTCCCATAAACAATGTTCGACTTCGAGCCCAGCTCCTGAGCGCCGCGCGCTGATTCTATGGTATCCATGTGTGATCGTACTGCATGGAGTGTGTCTAATATTCAACCGCAGGCATTCCACGAGCTTAAAGGTTGATAATCTGTCTGTAAACTAGCCAGGGAAATTGAATGCCACCCTGACTGTAGGTTCGGTTGCTTAAAGGTATTGTATTTCAGTCTGGGATGGTGTACTACGAGAAAATACGCTACGAAGATTCTAACGAGGGTGTCGAAGTCAATTCTTGCGTGTCATTCGTACATGATACCTCTGGAGTGAGTAATTTGTCATAAAAGCTCATTCACCGCAATCATTCAAAAAAAAACGTTTTTCAAGTACCCGGCAGGTAAAATCCCCCAACCGTATGCGGTGGTCCCTGGCCACACAAAATTCATCAAATCTTCGCTCGGAAAGTGAAGATGTTGTAAGAACGCCTGGAGACTTCGGCTTAACTTTGACCGCTTTTTTTCGATATGCTGCACCAATTATCAATAGATGCACTGCCGATGCCTTGGCGCTTTTCCGAAGCTGAAAATCATGGCGAGCCTCAAGGGACGCATTTATAACGGGCGAACACGCTTTCTTCCTCGCTGCTAAGGTAGCCAATCCCTACGAAGCCACATACGAACTCAACCGTGCACGGGTTACAGCCGCTAAAAGCGTTTTTGAAAATTGTGCGTTCTTGCAACCTCTTCTGGTTCTCGTCCCCTCTTCGCGACTCTTGCGATTTCCTAAATCGCGCGGGAGCGATAAACGCGCCCTTCTGCTTCTCAGACATGGCACGTGTCGCGTAGTATGGACGCGGACTGAATATACAGGGGGGGGGGGGCAAAAAAAGTCACTTCGACCGAGTCACATATCAGCAAAGTTTTCGCAGCCCAGACAGAGGACGTGGATACGAGTACCAGGGCGGAAGATACCCAAGATGTTCCTCGATAAGCAGGAGCTGGCTCTCGCCCATCACCTTCATGTACACCAAAATATGAAGTCATCTCCAGCAGCCTGACTGGAGAAGACCTTTGGAATTCACGTCACCTCCAAACAGCTGCGAAACTTCTTGTATGGAGTCACCCATGGATAGCTACCTGGAGACCAGTACTCTCGATCTGGAAGACCTCCAACATCGAGCAGCTCCGACAACGTCGCTACGGTCTAGGACATCATCTTCACCGCAGTCGCCAAGGCGCGGGTTGATGGTATGGACCGGACGTACCTGGAATGGAAAGACCAATATTTTCTTCGTGGGCCCGGACTGAAGGTGAGCGCTGGCGGTTACATCGAGCAACTCGAGAAGAATATCCTCCCCACATGTCGTCGCCCGTACCTTCTTGGAAACTTTGTACTGCTACAGCATTGGGTGCCACCACATGGAATCGAAGGGCGTTGGAGAAACTCTCGCCTACTTGGAATGGAAGGGCGTTGAGTACCTGAAGAAGATGGAATATCTAAGCAGGTCACCTGACCTGAATCCCTCAATTACCCGGTTCGGGCGGAGTTCAATAGGGTGGTCTACGGTGGCGGAGAAATCGACTATCTCGCTGATCTCAGGCACCACATCGCGGTCGCGTGCCAGAATCTCTCGATGGCGCTCGTCCAGAAGGCTGTGGCGGAGTGTCATGATAGTATTTAATATGCTCTTTAATATGGTGGTAGAAATGTCCGATCAGAATTTAATAAAGTGTAACTTATAGCGCCTCGAAAGTCAAGGGAAGAGAAGTGACTTTTTTTGCCCCCACTGTAGATGCATGATAACGCAGCTATTCAATCGAGATACACTCCAAATATCTTGAAAGCACTTCCTAGCCCGGGCTATATTCAACCCCACCATCTTGGAAACCTTCACACAGGCTTATTTTCCTGGCCTTTTCAACTAATCTATCAGAGCCTACCCCGGTTAGAGAGAGGCCAGCTCAGTCTTTCAGAAACGTCCTAAAGGGAACGCAGGATAATGGTTTTGAAGCTAGGGCCTATAAAAAGAATTTGGGCGTATTCCTAGCAATACGATCCATCCTCAAATTTTTCTCCGATAAGACCTCCCCCTTCTATACCCTCGACGACGTATAAATTGCACAAGTAAACGAGAAAAATCAGCAACAAAATGCATTCGCCAGAATAGGTTCTCCGCAGCCGTCATGCTCACTTTTTCGAGCAGACTTATGATGAACGCCAAGAAAAGCAAACTTCGAAGCAAAACACTGAGAGCTTCCCATCTTCAGTTCCTTTCATTTCTTCCGGTGACCTTCGACGTAAATTCCCAATGGCTCGTAGTTTCACGATGATTTACTTCCTTAGTTAATTATTTGTTTTTGCAGAAGCTTCGGGCGCTATACACAGCATGAAAACCCTCAGTGTGGACAAAGAAAAACAAAGAAGAAAACTATCATGTGCCTAATATTATACCGTTACTTAAAATAAAATGTTGCTTTGTGTTTGTGACAGTGTAAAAACTAAGCCGGTTGGTACCGACAACTAGAAAGGCCGAAGAGAACAAATTTTTTCTTCTCAATCAAGCGTTCCGCTAAACGTAGCTATTATGCTTGATTTGTGAGTGCCCTGGGTTTCGAGTGAAAATGCACTGGATACTAAGAAGTAGCTCGGCTGACAACGGTAAATCCTTGGCGCTGACGCACTTGTTTATGGTGTGCTACGTATTTTCCCTGTATGCAGTAGTAAGAGCATTTGAATTCCTGCTTGGCCTGTACAGTGGATTTGGTGGCAATCAACATTGGAATATTGCTTCCGTCTTCCATCAAAATTTTGAGTAACTTGACCGCAGGTTCGTTGAAGCTGCCGGCTTGACTAGTGCACGGTCCTTTCAACCAAACGCTTACCTAATGCTTGAAGGAGCGGTCCGCGATGACCTATCAGCTATGCAAGTGGTTATGTGGGAAGCGTTTAGTTGCGCGGGACAAATTCTGTGCCAGTTTTGCAGCGGACAAGTTGCACGGTAAAAGGATTGTAGCGCGCGACGCAACATCTTTTTTCAGTGGACTCCGCCCTCAAAGTCGGTCTTTCCATCCAAAAGTAATGCTCCCGGGCGAGTATTACGGAGTGGATGCATTCAATGTCTCTTGTTGAGTCATAGGGTTCATTACTGGGAATCAGCCGACGGGAATTGTCCCAGCGCCCGGTTTTTTCGGTCTTTTACTTCTACAGTTGTTTGAGGTGAGAGGAGGCCTAACGAATGCGTTTCCAACGTTCCCTTTGGCATTTTCTCTTCATAGATGGTTCACTTGGCGAATTTTCTTCCACATTTCTGCAAAATCACCTAGGCTTTTTATCGCGGGCCGTGCCTTCAATGTGATACCTTTATTTGGCACATCTTCTTCATCACTTCCCTCTAGGTGTCGCGCCGTTCGAGTAATTAATAGAAATCAAAATGGTCCAACCTAGCGCCGACGTGCAGAAACTGATGTCATGCACACACGGTACTGTTATGACTCATCTCGACTGTGGCCCCTCGCGCAGGTGGTGTGCACTCGCTTGCAATGCCCTTTTCGCCGGGCCATTCTTAAATCGAATCTCCCTGGACCACCACCTGCCCCCCGCCCCACACGCCACAACGTCATAGAAATAGATTCTTGTCGACAGTACTAACAATAACAACCGCCTCTGAGAGTGATCCCCAGGTGAAGAGAATGGTGCTGGTCCACGAAGCATGAGAGAAAGTACAATCATAGGGGGAACTCATTTTCGTTATGTTTACTCACACTACTCCAATTACCGCCGCCAGAACTCACCCACTGTTCTGAGGGATTCCAGTGCTCACCGGATATGCATACTTTGGTTATTACTCGGTATCTTTGGGAAAACATTACTTTGGTTATTACTCAGTATCCTTCGAAAAGCATATCTCTCTTTCTGCTTTTATATTTATTTATTTAATTTATTTATTTATCATGCACGCCCATAGGTGCGCTAAACAGTGCAAGCGATAGGCACTGTTTAGCGCCACCTATGCGTGCATGACTAAATTAAATAAATAACATAAAAGTCGAAGGATACTGGTAATAACCAAAGTGCTCTTTTATCACGTTTTCAGCAACCTTTGATCTTGTCAGTTCTTGGTTTTCTGTCATATCGGTCCCAGAACCACGGAGGACACCTCGCAGAATCCATTCAGTCTAGATCTGATGTCATCCAGGACCTTCCTTTTGTCAGGTGACTATTGAAGGATCTGAAGAAGTGCGGGCTAAGGGGGAGGGATGCGGTGCGGTAGGACAGTGTTAATCATTCTTCATTGTGCAGGCTATGAGAAAGACGCGTGGCGACCGCTTGTCATAGGGAAAGGCAAGGGGGGGAGACAAGTTACGGCCTTTCCCGTCCCATTCTCCAAAAACATTTTTCTCGGCGACGATTGAGACCCTTTGCCTTACCTCTAACAACGAAATGCGATCTCCTCGCTAGGGTGCCCAATGTATGACATGCCCTGCACGGAACGCCAGTGCTACAGTCGAAAGTTTAGTGAGAGCAGTGGCTTTGGACAAACCCTGCAGTAGGTCTACGAGTGTTGTTTTTGTTGAAACTCTGGCAGAATGGATTCTATGGGGAAATCCATTACGTGCCCAATAACGACCCAGACTCCAAGTTTGCTTCTCTTCCATGTTACTGCGGATATAGCAATAAAAACGGTCGTAAGCAGTAAGCAGTAGGCTGTATGCTTGGATCTAGGCAGTCTCTGCAAGTAAAACGGCTCCAAAAAAACTGGAATTAGTTACTTTTGTCGGTGAGTGGCCGATTTCGATTTGCCGGATGAAAGTTTTTAGGTATGGTAACTTTCGGACCTAACCCTTAACCCGTAACATTTTCCTTTCATCAATTTCCATAACACTTCCTGGAAATGTTCGTAAGTAGCCGAAAAATACCTTTTTGATTTCGGGAAAAAAGTGGATACATGACTTTTATAGCCAGAAAAATTGGCTGCAAAAAAACTCAAGCTTTGTTAACTTAGCTTTATTTTTATGAACGAAGACGGCGCTGTTCCTGGTAACTGGTGGCACAGGGACTAGAACTGCAGAGCACATCGATCCTGAATTACCAATCTAGCCATTTTTCTCCTGTAGGTAGTCTGAGGTGACGCAGTGGCGAGTGAGGTAGCCTACCACAACGGGGTCACGATCATTTCCCACCCAGACTCACTCACCCTTAGGGGTCGGCTAGTTGCACCAGGTTTGTCTATGGCACAATGGTTGTCCCCTCAGATCATCGAGTATGGCAAATGGCGTTTAAATGTCACTGCCAATGGAAGCGAAATGGGTGGCGCATTCGAAATGGGTTGATCACAGCAGAAAGT